TGTCATAACTGGTTATTATTTTACAGGATCTTTTCCAGCTCCCTGCTTTAGAGTACAGTGGTTCTTGAAAGTTTGTGAAGCCTTTAGAATTTTCTATATTTCTGCATAAATATGAAGTAAAACATCATCAGTTTTTCACACAAGTATTAAAAGTAGATAACGAGAACCCAGTTAAACAAATGAGACAAAATATTATACTTGGTCATTAATTTATATGCATATAATAATAACTAATAATAATAACTGCTACTAAAATTTCAGTAACTGTTGATCAGTCCTGATCACTGGCTTGAAGGAACTTTTGCTCATTCCTCCGTACAGAACAACTTCAACTCTGGATGTTGGTGGTTTCTTCACATTAACTGCTGCTTCAGGTCGGCCGGCCTATTTATCAGCCCCGATTTCCTTAATTTTAGGAAATCGGCTGATACTTGCAGGACAAACCAATTTTACAGATATTTATTTTTAAAGTTTTAACAATAATTGTCTAAACTTCATTTATATTTCAGAGTACTACTTCATGGCCAGTTAAAACAAGTTTGTATTGTTTATAAGATTGTTCAAGTGTATGTTTTTCAACAAAATAAAATTGGAAAATTGAAGGTGCATTGTGACCTTAACACCTGACAGTGTCGCTTATAAAACAAAATCGGTATCGGCAGGTCAGACTTTTTAGAAATCGGTGATTGGTGATCGGCCAGAAAACTGCAATCGGTGCACCCTAGCTTCAGGTCCTTCCACAACATCTAGATTGGATTAAGGTCAGGACTTTGACTTGGTCATTCCAAAACATGGACTTTATACTTCTTGAACCATTCTTTAGTAGAAAGACTTGTGTGTTTGTGTGTTTCGTCGTCTCGCTGCATGACCCACTTTCTCTTGAGGTTCAGTTCATGGACACATGTCTTGAGAGTTTCTTTCAAAATTATATGATATAATTCAGCATTCATTGTTCCATCAATGATGACAAGCCGTCCTGGCCCAGATGCAGCAAAACAGGCCCAAACCATGATACTACCACCACCATGTTTCACAGATGGGATAAGGTTCTTATGCAGGAATGCAGAGTTGTCATTTCTCCAAACAAAATGCTTTTTATTTAAACCAAAAAGTTCTGTTTTGGTCTCATTCGTCCACAAAACGTTCTTCCAACAGTCTTCTCGTCCACGTGATCTTTATCAAACTGCAGACGAGCGGCCATGTTCTTTTTGTAGAGCAGTGTCTTTCTCCTTCAACCCTGCCATGAACCATTGTTGTTCAGTGTTCTCCTGATGGTGGACTCATGAACATCAACATCAGTCCATGTGAGAGAGACCTTCAGTTGTTAGAAGTTACCTTGGGCTCCTTTGTGACCTCACAGACTATTCCACTCCTTGCTCTTGGAGTGATCTTTGTTGGTCCACTACCCCTGGGGAGGACAATGGTCCTGAATTTCCTCCATTTGTACACCATCTGTCTGACTGTGGATTGGTGGAGTCCAAACCTCTTTACAGATGGTTTGTAACTTTTCCAGCCTGATGAGCATCAACAACTCTTTTTCTGGGCTCCTCAGAAATCTCCTTTGTTCCTGCCACGATCCACTTCCACAAACATGTTGTGAAGATCAGACTTTGATAGATCCAGTTCTTTAAATCAAACAGGGTGCCTGATCATTGTCCATTGATTGAAAACACCTGACTCTTAATTTCACCTTCAGATTATATGCTAATCCTAGAGGTTCACATACTTTTGTCACTCACATATATATAATGGATCATTTTCCTCAATAAAAAAATGACCAAGTACAATATTTTTGTTTCATTTGTTTAACTGGGTTCTCTTTATCTATTTTTAGGACTTGTGTGAAAATCTGATGATGTTTTAAATCCTATTATTACAGAATTATAGAAAATTATAAAGAGTTGACAAACTTTCAAGCATCACTGTAGGAGCTTTCTTTGCTTTACAAGAACCTATGAATGTCTGAGGGAACACGATTTGTCCAGTTGTAAGCTTAAGGTTTTTTCCAGAGCAAGTTTTTCGCCTCATGTACTTTTGATCTTGTTTGTGATTTCAGAGAGAAGTACACAGAGACGAGCAGTGGCAGAAATGTGCGTTCTGCCACGAGAAATGCCATGCTACAACTGGCTAAGAAGAATGACTATGAAGACGATATGAGTAATGAAGAGAACGTCTCCCCTCCCAGCCTTGGGCCTTTTTGGCAGAGCAAGAATACCAGGTTCTGTATAAATAAAGGTTGAATGAATATTAGACATATTTCATTATACCATGTTTTTTTGTGTGATGTTGCTTTGGTGCTTTTGGATTAATGGCTAATCACAAAGAGTTTGTTTTAGCTCCAGATAAATAAAAACTGGACCTCATACTGGATCCCAGAAGGGTGTCCTCGTAGAGTGGTCCCAGGACCAGTTTTACTTCCTGCACCCCTCCTCTGCCCTTACTGAAAATAAAAGTACATCTCATATCATTTCCTCCCACCCTCTGGTGTTGACTCTTGTTGAATCATGTAGCTCTTACCTTGCTGTTGTACGCTTTACTACTAGTTTTGTATATGTAGCTGTAAATATTTCTTTCATACTTAAATGAAGTTCCTGTGACTCCATGATTGTGTGTTGGTGGATAGGCAGGACTTAAAGACCCACATCCCAAACTGCACACACTCTGACTCTAAAAATACAATATGGCAACTCCTATAACCCCATATTGTATTTTACTATGCAATCAGTATTTCAGAATAGGAGCTTTCTAAGAGCCTGTTCACACCTGGCACTTGCACACATCCTGTCTGAATCACTAGGGGACACCTTTAAGTACGAGGGTGTTAAAATCATCTAGACTGATCATTTCTCAGTTTAATTAAAATATTTTCAGCAAGTTTTAAAAACTTACTGTCCTTGTTAAAGCTGCTGTTTTCAATCTAATTTATTACATACGAACAAAATCTACAAAACATATTTAAGGGACAGGACTTGGGTTTATTTGTCATAACTGGTTATTATTTTACAGGACCTTTTCCAGCTCCTGCTTTAGAGTACAGTGGTTCTTGAAAGTTTGTGAACAAATGAGAATTTTCTATATTTCTGCATAAATATGAAGTAAAACATCATCAGATTTTCACACAAGTCCTAAAAGTAGATAAAGAGAACCCAGTTAAACAAATGAGACAAAATATTATACTTGGTCATTAATTTATGTGCAGCAATAACTGCAACTAAACGTTTCCAGTAACTGTTGATCAGTCCTGATCACTGGCTTGAAGGAACTTTAGCTCATTCCTCTGTACAGAACAACTTCAACTCTGGATGTTGGTGGCTTCTTCACATTAACTGCAGCTTCAGGTCCTTCCACAACATCTGGATTGGATTAAGGTCAGGACTTTGACTTGGCCATTCCAGAACATGAACTTTATTCATCTTGAACCGTTCTTTGGTAGAAAGACTTGTGTGTTTAGGATCATTGTATCGCTGCATGACCCACCTTCTCTTGAGGTTCAGTTTATGGACACATGTTCTGAGATTTTCCTCTAGATTTCTCTGATATAATTCAGAATTCATTGTTCCATCAATGATGGCTAGAAGTCCTGGCCCAGATGCAGCAAAACAGGCCCAAACCATGATACCACCACGTTTCACAGATGGGATAAAGTTCTTCTGCAGGAATGCAGATTTTCCTTTCTCCAAACAGAACACTTTTCATCTAAACCAAAAAGTTTTATTTTGGTCTCGTCAGTCCACAAAACATTCTTCCAACAGTCTTCTTGTCCACGTGATCTTTATCAAACTGCAGACGAGCGGCCATGTTCTTTTTGTAGAGCAGTGTCTTTCTCCTTCAACCCTGCCATGAACCATTGTTGTTCAGAGTTCTCCTGATGGTGGACTCATGAACATCAACATCAGTCAATGTGAGAGAGGCCTTCAGTTGTTAGAAGTTACCTTGGGCTCCTTTGTGACCTCACAGACTATTCCACTCCTTGCTCTTGGAGTGATCTTTGTTGGTCCACTACCCCTGGGGAGGACAATGGTCCTGAATTTCCTCCATTTGTACACCATCTGTCTGACTGTGGATTGGTGGAGTCCAACCTCTTTACAGATGGTTTGTAACTTTTCCAGCCTGATGAGCATCAACAACTCTTTTTCTGAAACCTCCTTTGTTCCTGCCATGATCCACTTCCACAAACATGTTGTGAAGAGCAGACTTTGATAGATCCAGTTCTTTAAATCAAACAGGGTGCCTGATCATTGTCCATTGATCGAAAACACCTGACTTAATTTCACCTTCAGATTATATGCTAATCCTAGAGGTTCACATACTTTTGTCACTAACAAATATGGAGTATTGGTTCATTTTCCTCAAATTATTGACCAAGTATAATATTTGTCTCATTTGTTTAACTGGGTTCTCTTTATCTACTTTTAGGACCTGTGCGAAAATCTGATGATGTTTTGAATCGAATCATATTATTACAGAAATATAGAAAACTACACACAAACTTTCAAGCATCACTGTAGGAGCTTTCTTGTCCAGATGTAAGCTTAAGTGTTTTTCCAGAGCAAGTTTTTCCCCTCGTGCACTTTTGATCTTGTTTGTGATTTCACAGAGAGAAGTACACAGAGACGAGCAGTGGCAGAAATGTGCGTTCTGCCAAGAGAAATGCCATGCTACAACTGACTAAGAAGAATGACTATGAAGACGATATGAGTAATGAAGAGAACGTCTCCCCTCCCAGCCTTGGGCCTTTTTGGCAGAGCAAGAATACCAGGTTCTGTATAAATAAAGGTTGAATGATTATTAGACAACAGGTGAAATGTGCTCAAACCTACGAGTTCCTGTTAATAGCCGAGCTGCAGCATGTGTAGCTGTAATTAGTTCTTTCATACTTACATGAAGTTCGTGTGACTCCATGATTGTGTGTTGGTGGTAGGCAGGACTTGGGTTCACACTTTGAAATGGTTTGACACAACTTGTATTTTAACGATCTTTTTAACTTTTTGTGTCACCAGGAAAAGCCGTCTTCTGTCTGCACCTTTCCTCAGGAGACAGAGAGGCCGGAGCTCCTCTGTCACAAGTGAGAGTAAAAAGAAAACATCTGCACGTAAACACCTGAAAACTTCTGTGAAAATGAAGGTGAACTCCAGGTAGTTACTTTGTCACGTTTTTGCTGTCGTTGTAAACATGCCACAGTGACACTGCGTTGAAGACGGCCTTTTTCTCGTTTTCTTTGCCAGTGGTCTCCTTGCATCTGCTGGTCGTTACGTTACTCGTCGCAAATGCACAGCTTCCACCAACCCCCCTAAAGCGAGGATTGTTACACTTAACTCTTCGGATGACTTTACCCCTGGAAGGATTGTTCCCAGCAGGAGACTCCAGCCCTCCAGGGGAAGGCGAAACCAGCCAGCATTTGGGGTGTCTAGTGCAGAGAGCTCTGTGATCTTTGTGGGCGCTTCCAGCTTTACCAACGCTCATGTTAGAGAAATATCCCTCAATGATTCAGGCAACCCCAACTTGGGACCCTGCTCCAGGAAGCCCATCTTTTGCTCCACACCCTCAGCAGCCTCCTTCGCTAAACGGGGACCATCTAAACCCTTTGCCCTCCAAGGTCAGATCACTTCTTCATCTGTGTCGGCCAGCTGTGTCTCAAACACTTTTCAAGAAGACCTGAATTCACCCCAGCAGCCCTTCTCACCACCACTGTCTGCATCGCCCTCTGAACAGGACGGGAGGCTGCCGCGCAACAAAGAGCAACCCCCTGATTTATTCATTGAATCTAAAGGAGGAAGCTGCAGTGAAGGAGACACAAACTTGAGTGGAGACTCAAAGGCCCAGTATGATGTTGAATTAGCCAGCAGAGATCTTTTCTCCTCAGACAGTGAAAGCAGCAGTCGCTTTGTGTCTGCAGCAGGAGGCTTGGAGTGGCTAATTGAGGCTCTGAAGCAAAAATGTCTGAGCCAGCGCTGCGAAGTTCAACTGGAGAGATTATCCTTCCTCCCTGTGACTCAGCTTTGTGGTCAGACAATCTATTCATCCTGTTTGGAGCGTTCAAACTCCACCGACAGCCAGCAAAGGAAAGAGCTGCTTCAGGATGTGGACAGCAGTCAAAGTGTTGTTTGTCTTCAGTCTTCAGCAGAATCACATTGTTTTTCTCTGACTAATAATGAAAGCAGTGATTACTTAAAATCATCAAGTAGTTATGACTTATCAGCATCAGTGAATGGTTTACCACCAGATTACTGTAAGACGTCAGCTAAACTATCAAACGATAAAGCATGCGTGCAGGAGCTGGAAGGAGTGCCTTCAGATCAGAGTCATGAGATTAGCATGGACACAAAGCTACGGTCTAGTATTAGAGTGCAAACACTGTTTACTGACCAGGAGGCTAAAGCAACAAAGGATGCATGCGTTTCTAAGAAATGCATTGTTCCGTTGCAGAAAACCCAATTGCCAAATCCGTATCTTAAAGATTTTGCTCAGCACAGAGAGGCTGGTGCAGCTCGTTATGAGAGATCTGTTGCTCAAGATCCCAAACAGCATGAAAGGAAGGGAAGAGCAGCGTCACACAGAAAGGCACAAGTCAGGTCCGTAGCAAAGTCAAAGTGTGCTGAGTCAGAAAAGACATCAGAGCCGGCCTCACCGCCCGTGAAGAAATGTCGAACCATGAAACGGCTGAGAAAAACCCTGCAGTTTAAAGACGCTCATATGTCCGAACCAGCCTGCGACGACCACACAAATGTCGGCCAACTGTCTGAGAGTGACAACAACGAAAACTCTGCCTCTTCAAAAATCGACACGAAAAATGGAAGATCCACCCGTTCAAAAGCAGCCTCTGGCAACAAAGTTGAGAAACTCCACAAACCCATCTGCCGAGTGGAAAAATCGTGTCTGGGTTCTAAAGAGAACAGGAGGGGGAGCGTCTTCCCACAACAGACCGGGACTGCGAGGAAGGCGTGCGTGAGCGGGATAAGTGTGAGTCGATGGAAGAACAAAGGTGTTGACGGAGGGACGCTGAGGAGCAGGGCGGCAAAGAAGGCTGCACCATGTGAGCTGATCTCAGTGCAGCACATTCAGCCAATGGTAAGAACAGAATCCAGAATAAAACATTGAAAGTCTCAAACAAATGTCACTGAATTGTTCTACATAAAAGAAAATTGTACAGATTATTAAAAAAAAATTTTTAGCTGCTGCAGCCATTTTATGCAGCGGTTCTACAAATAAGTTTTAAAAGTGTCTGATCAGAGATTAGTCAGGTCTAGATTCATACTACACTTAAAGGCACTCGGCTGATAACTTTTAGTTATTTTGAACTTTTAGCCATCATTTTAGCTACATTCTGCTACTTTTAGTTTCTATCTAGCCTTTTGCTATATTTCCAGCTGCAGTAGTTTTGCAGCTTCTTTCTGGGCAGCTGTGCCTGAGTAGTTAGAGCAGTCGTCCTCCTATGCAAGAGTTGGGGGTTCTATTCCACCAGCCGAAGTGCCACATATCCAAGTGTCCCTGGACAAGACACCGAACCTCTCATTGTCTCAGTTGTGTGTCCCATCAGTGTATGAATGTGATACAGCTCTGATTGTTCTTTGTATAGATCTAGTAGAGAGATGTATGAATGGGTAAATGAGGCACAGATTGTAAAGAGCTTTGAGTATCTTGATAAAATAAAGGTAATATATAAGTACAGTCCATTTCTAGCCATTTACTACATTTAGCTTTTAGCTATCGTTTTCCTACTTGTAAATACTGCTCTGCTTGTTTTAGTTTTAACTTGTCAATTTCAGATTTTTCTGCAAATTTCAGCAGCCACTCCGCTTTCACACTTTCTCCATTTTCTCTGTAATGAAGCCACCTTTCACTGATTAGAGTCAGATTATTAGAATTAAAGGTGGCTCGTTTATAGATCAAGCTAATGTCATGAAACTGTTAGCCTTTTGCTCAAACTGACAGAATCAGATTACCGTTAGGCGGGTCAGATAATCTAGATCCACTTAAAGAAAGTCTCATTGGCTGTTTGCTCCCAAAATGTGTTTGATTTTATATTTTTGTAGTTGGGAATGATTTTAAATGTGTTGTACTTCCTGTTTGTAGGATTTGGGAACTACGATCAATTTCTTTACTCCAGTAAGGGCAATCCAACTCAGCACGTTGTCTCTGCTGGCTGATTCACCCAGCACACACACGTGGAGCCGGCTCAAAGCCTCCCGCTCTGTTCATCGCAAAGGTAACGATCCCGCTCAGCCCGTCAGCATTTACGTCTGTTCAGATTTTATTTTTGCTGTTCAAGTATACCTTTCCATGTGTTTTTCTGTCCCCCCCCCCCCCCCCCGTGATTAGTGCAAATCACTCCAAAGAGTCCATTCATACGGTGCTCTGCAAGAAGTTTGGGGTTAGCAGATGTCAGCCTTGAACTCTTTGCCACCCCCTTGCGTTCGATGCTCCCCAGACACCTGCGCTCACAGCTGATGAGCCAACACTCCGTGGTACAAAACGCACTACATGAAGCTTGAAGAGCTCCTTACTGCCACTGAGTGCTGACCATAAGGCTCCTTTCTCATGAGTCTGATGTTAATCTTCAACCTCCCTCCTGTCAAATGTTTTGCCACAGCCTTTATGTGAAGATGCAGATCTGTCGGACGCAGAGAAGGTGTACGCTGAGTGCGGCCAGCAGCACCCTCTGCCCTGGGAGGAGTGCATTCTACCTCACCGTATGAAACGGTGTGTGAAGATTGGAGAAGGGACGTTTGGTGAGGTCTTCTCCACCACCAATTCTTCAGGAGACACCGTGGCACTCAAAGTATGTAGCAGCTGCATTTCTTCAAGTTTTATTATAAAAACACAGATTTTACTGCTCTAGCAAACCCACTTCTATGGCCTAAATCTTTTCTTTTGTCAGCTCTTTACACAATTACATACATTTTATGCATACACATACAGTAGTCCCTCGCTACTTCACGGTTCGTTTATCGCAGACTCGCTCTATTGTGGTTTTTCAAAATAAGATTGGACATGACACACACTTGGCTGATTGATGGATGAGCCGCACAATCGGCATGACATTTTTATTTAAAATAAATTATTTAAAAGTTTTTATCACCTGCTGCATCTATGTGCAGCCCATAGCTACAGAAAAAGCTTCCTCCTGTAACTCTGTGCTTCCCACGCTGCAGGATAAACTTCCTCCTGCAGCTGATCAGCTGTTCTCCGTGCAGAGCAGGAAAAGTGGGCGTGGCCAAGAACGCTTGCAGGTGGCTGAGAGTAGCGGAGGTACAGAGGGAAATCATGACATGATGTTCTCTTTAGAGCATTGAGCTTAGAAACATTGTTTAGAAACATTGTTTAGAGTATCACAAGAGAGTGGGAAGGGATTAAAACACACTTACACACACACACATATATATATATATATATTTAGTATATTTAGTGTATATATGTAAATATCTATATATATATATATATATATATTTTTTGTATTTT